AAGGGGGAAGATGGCAGAACAGTAAGCAGCAGAGTAAACAGCCTCTCTGAGAGAAATAGCCCAGATGCTGGAATATAGTATTCTGGAGATGACAAGAAGGAAAAAAAAAATGGGTCCCTCGACCCAGGAAGAAACTAAAGTGAGAATCAAAGCCCATAGAGAAAATTAAGATAGACAGACAGACAGAGAGACAGACAGAAAAGACAAGACAGACACAGAAGGTGGTAGTCAAAGGTGCTTTCACAGGAGCCAGTCCCACTGTGAGAGAAGTGCCACTCTGGAATCCAGAGATGCATGGTCACAGTGAAGCTGGGGGCTGGCAAGCCCAAAGGCCTTGGCAGGGAGATTTAGCGGCGAGGGAGCAGCAGACCAAAGAACTGCACTGGCTGGCAGTGAGTGTGGGGGACTCCCCAGGAGGAGTTCTCTACAGGAGTAGGCAATTGGCCAGGCACCATTTTGGAGTTAGGCAGGATAAGCCCAGGACCAGAACTACAGCTGGCTTCCTTCAGTCACTCCTAGTGCAGAGCAGACTGGTGAAAATTGCTTGGACTGAGTCCCACCCCTGTGCATGTCCAACACCGAGGTTTCCCTAAAGCTATCCCTAACCAACCCCGCCCAGCACACACAAACTTGGTGAAGATTCTGTGGTTAACCAGCTCGGGAGGGAAGGGCCAGCCTGCCCTGCCCCCATTTATACTCCAGTAAGTCACTAGCACATTGAGGAACACAGCAAACAGCAGGAATTCCTAACTAACATGCTTCAGAGTAGTTATAACCAATACGGGAAGTGCCAGGGACCCCACTACCCACTTGTGTGGAAGAAACCAGGAACGTGACAAGAGGAAGAAGCAAAAGGCAGTCTCCAGCCTCCAACCCAAGATCAGGAGTGGCACACCTGCAGTTTTTGAAGTAACAGCAACTGACATAAAGAAACAACCTCATGAAGCTAAAAAAGAACTTAAAACAGAAATACTATTACAAATAAAGGAAGATATAAGAAATATAACTAAAGAATTGCTAAGCACCTCTAAAGAAGACACAGAGGGAAGAACAGGGGAGCATAGAAAAAGGAGGGAAACCTTCAATGAAGAATATAGAAGACTCAGAATCCATGAAACAGATTCAAAGAGATTACCAGGAAATTAAAAACTCCATTGAAAGCTGGGAAAACTGCTTAAAAGAAACTAAAGATAAGACTATCAAACCTTGAAGATAGGTTTGCAACTAGTGATCGCGAAGGAAAAATTTCTTAAAAATATCAAGGAACCAGGAAATAACAATACAAAAGCTAAAAGGTGACAAGAGGATCTATAACTTAAGAATAAAAAATGTGAGCGAAGAAGCAGGAGTAAACACAAATGAAATACAAGGGCTATTTACAGAAATAATTAAAGAAAACTTCCCAAGCATAAGAAAAGGAAATGATACTCAGAGGCATACAGAACTCCAGCCAGCTATAACCAAATAGATCTTCATATAATAATCAAGATCCCAGAAATTCAATACAGAACAGAATATTAAAAGCTGTCAAGAGCAAAGAAATAGATTATCTATAAAGGAAAACCCATTAAGAATCATGACAGACTTTTCAACATAAACCATCAAATCAAGAAGAGTTTGGAGTGAAGTATTCCAAATCCAAAAAGAAAAAACCCTTCAATCCAGACTCACATACCCTGCACATCTCTCAAAATTAATGGAGAAACAAGATGCTTCCATGCAAAGAGGAACTGGGGAGTTCATGACCACCAAACCAACCCTATAGAAATACTGAAGAACATTCTAGAGAGAAAAAAGACCATAGTTTCAGAAACAGCGACAGAGGGGCTCACTGAATGGGGCACACAGTGGAATGAAGGGGAAAAGTAGACAACCAACAGCAGAAAAACAGCATGGCAGAGACGAGGCAAAGAAGGTTGGCAATAATCACTAATATGGATGGCCTCAATACTCCAAAAGAAACACAGGCAGAGTGGGTTAGGAGATAGGGTCCATCAATATTCTCTATATAAGAAATACAATTAACCTGAAAGAGAGTTTATAGATGGGAAAGTCAAAGATGAGAAAACAATGCTCTATGTAACAGGAATCAGAAAAAAGTAGGGGTAGCTTGCCCATCAGCTGCAGATTGGTTAGAAAGACATGAAACTTTTATACAATGGAGAACCACTCAGCTACAAGGAAGGAAAACCTTGAGATTCTTATAGGTAAATGGATAGAACTTGAGTTCATGCCCAGGGGTTAAAATGGTTCAGAATCACTTAGGTGAATAGGGGGTTGCCTCCTTTAAACTAAAGGAGTTAGTGGGATACAAAATGTACAATGCACCCTGTGAAAGTGAAAGGGGAGGAACTGTCTAAAGAGAGAAGGCAGTGGCCATTATAATCTTGTATCATGATTTGAAACCCATATTGTTTTTAGTGCTCTGTTTAGTTTGGTTTTATTCTGTTCCATTTTGTTTATTTGTACTAGATTTGATGGCATGGACAGCTATTCCAAAGACAGCAAGATATACTATGGTAATCATTTTTTATTTCCTATTAACTTAATTTGAAGCCCTGTATTGCTCTGTCTTGTTTCGACTGATTTTATTAGAATCTATTTTGTTAGTATCAAGTCTGAGGGTAAGGCAACTACTATGAAGACAGTAAGATTCACTATGATACCCATTCTGGTTTGACTTATCTTTTTTTGAAGTCCTATAATGTCTCCAATGTTTTGTTTTTATTGGTTTTGTTTTGTACTTCTCTGTTAAATTTTACTATGCCTGATGATATGGCCAATTCTTTTGAAGATAACAAGAGGCATTATAGTAATCATTTTTGATCACCTTGTATTTTGGTTTTAAGCCATGTACAATGTCCATCCTTTTGTTCTGACTGATGTTTTGTCTCATTTGGTTTTATTTTTTTCAAAAGGAAAAAAAAATAGGACACATTTATGTGGCATGGAAAAACTCTTAAAGAGGACATTATTAAGTTCAAGTAAAATTTCTTCTGTTCATCAAAAGACACAGAAAATACAGCATGAGACAACATATGTACAACATACATACCATTAAATTAGAGCTTATGTCTAAAACACAAAGAATTCCTTAAAACTTACACACAGCTTATTTAAATAGCTCTATACAGAGATATTTTAATGTAAATTGGAAATATCACACACATTATGTATACAGATTAAACTTTCACATATTTCTAACTCCTTACTAAGAGACTTTTGTGTAATAATTTGCTGATTTCTCTACCAATCAACTTTAAGTCTTTTAGCCAAAAAACAAATTTAGATGCTATTAAATGTTTTTCCTAATTGTAAACCTTACTCTTCTTGTATGAGAGGAAAGGTGTCTTTCATGATAGAAATTCAGAGTATAGCCAAAACATTGTGACAAGGGCACCTTTATAGAAATGTAAGACTCTTTCCAAATTCTGTATCTCAAAAAGACATTATTCCAACAAAAACATCTGAATTCAGCAGTATCTCTACAGTTACACATATTTTAAATGCTTAAGCAACAATAACAAAAAATGGTTAAGTAAAATATTTAATAGCCTTTGTATATAAGGCAATTTGCATTTGCAACATGACTATTTTAGTACCATAACTGGCATTCTTAGTTTAAAAGTATGCTTGCAAAATTTCTACAAATACACAATAACTATATCTACAGATGTTCCTTGATTTACAGTGCTATTAGGTACTGATTATCATGAAACTGAAAATATCCTAAGTCAAAAATGCATTTAATAAACTTAACCTAACAAGCACCATGGCTTAGCCTAGCCTATATTAGCCAACAATCAAACAAAACCATAATCTGTACCAAATTCAAAAGATAGTAACTATACATCTTTTTTTAAATTTTATTTTAAAGAGGGTAAAATTATGCAGAACAGATCATAAGAAAACAACGTAACTATACATCTTTTTTTAAAAAATTTTATTTTAAAGAGGATAAAATTAAACAGAACAAAACAGATCATAAGAAAACAATGCAAGAGACACAGATTTCAAAGCAAGACAACTGGAGATCTTCACTGTCTATCACACTGTCTCTTGTTTACTTCCAAACAGTTGTCCGTATCTTCATGTACAATGAATTCATACAAAACAAAATAGTATAAAACTGATCAGAACAGGATGATGAAGGCATATTAGTCCTTCAAAACCAGACAATAGGAAAGTCAACAATGGCTGCCATAATGACTCTCATTCTCTTTGAAATAGTTGCCCATACCTTCACATATGTTGAAATTAAACAAAACAAAACAGACTAAAATCCCTCTGAACAAAGAATAATTGTACTGCTGAATTTTATATCATGACGCTATGGAATCAGCACTCGGTACCTTAGTGTCTCTTTTTCTTCAAAGTAGCTGCTCATTTCATTGTGCATTATATAACTGATTCACATAAACTGTTTAGAAGTTCTACGCATGCATAAGTTTCTCTACATGTATACCTATTCTTCCTGTATTAGAGGCAAAATCAAGACAAAACAAAATTCCCAGAAAAATACAAACGAAAAAGACATATAAACAAGAGCCCAGAACACTGACAATATAGGCCTTCAAAACAAGGTGTTATGACATAATGTGGGTGTAACTATATATCTTTGCGACCAAGAGCAAGACAACCTTGGGTTCACAGCTCTGGCATTAATTAGCTGTATGTAAATGACTACTCTGTGAATCTGCAAATTTGTATCTGTAAAATGTGAGTATAAACCTATAAAACTTAGGTTATTAGAAAAACTGAACAAGATAATGTTAATTAAATATAGTTTACTAAAAATAGTTATATATATAATATAGTTTACTAAACAGATATATAGTTTACTAAACAGAAATCACTCAGGAAATGTGAAAAATGTTCTGCTATTATGGGATATACCAAAAGCAAAAATGCCAAACTTAGAAGCAGGTATAAAAGTAATCTGTGACACATTAGCCAATAATGACATTTGTAGAGTTTACTGCTTTGGCATTATTAGTTACCTGCAAGATTGTCAAGCATGAAATTCAGTAGCTTTCGGGTTCCATCTGGGTCCTGGTACAAGTTGAGAATATCCTGTGACAAAGGATTGCCTAAAAGATAAAAATAAAACCCATAAGACTTATAATTGAAAGACACGACAGAAATGTATACTATGAAACACAATACTCCTTTTCTAAGTTGATTTTACTTTATTTAACCTATTACTGACATTTAAAGATGTATGAATTTAAAGAAATATACTTCAAGATTTAATCATGAAGAAGTTTTTTCTCCCCAATTTGATTATATTGTGAACCTAGAATTTGGGCTCATCAAATGTGCATACACACACACACACACACACACACACACACACACACACACACACGAGTACTCTTAAATCAATTCTGAAGCAACGCTATAGATAAGATTAAATTTCTGACAGGCAAATACCCTGAACAAGAAAGAATACGTGATGTCATAAAGAGGTTATCTAAAAAGAAAAATATTTCAAGTGAAAACAAAACCTATTTCCAAACGAGTGGTTAGTGAATTGTGAGAGAAAATAAAAATTCTATGCCCATAAATTCAATGACTCAGAAAAAAATGAACAAATTCCTTGAAAGACAAAAATTACCAAAGCATATGCAAAAGGACTTATAAAATCATCAAAAATAGCAGAGTAAGGACTTCAAACATTTGCCACTGTGTAAGAGCAAAGAAAACCTGGTAAAAACTGTCAAAATCACCTACAATAAAGGTATGACATTTCATCAATCACAGAGTACAGATATAATGGTAGTCCCATAAGATTAAAATGACCTAAAAAGTATTTTTCTAGTGTTTTTAGTAATGCTGGGCAAACAAACCTATTGAGTTTTACCAACCTATAGCACAAAAGTATACAGCAGACAAAATAACGACAATTCAAACTTTTATAAAAGTATAAAACACCATTATACACCATTATATACAGGGCATGGTATTTGATAATAAACAAACATATTACTGGTTTTCGTATTTACTATCCTATACTACTATGGGGGGTTGGGGGGGGGGGGGAGACAACCAGGGATATAACAACCTCGTGCTTACCAGACAAGCACTTGAGCCACTGAGCTAAATTCCCAGGCCCTACTATCCTATACTCTTTATCACTGTCTCAGAACATACTACTTCAAAACACTATGTCCTATTACATTGCAGCAGCTTGACACATCTCATGTTTACTATGTCTCTTGATTACATCAAGAGGCCATGTTGAATGTTTGATCTACATTATTCAGGTTTGTGTAAGAACATATTTTAATGAACACACAGCGATGAAACTGCTTAACAACACATTTCTCAAAATACATCCCTGCATTTAAGAAATACAAAGTTATTGCTCAGATCTCTGAAACACCCAGGAAGAATTTATTTAAGAAAAAAATGTAGATTTTTGCTAAAAATAGTGATTTGTAGAGTTTTTACTTGTGATCTCACATTGCCAGGGCAGCTTTGAAGCCAGATAAACAACCAAAACCAAGCTGAAACTCTTTCAAAGCCTTGCTTCCAGAAAGTAAATCGTACTCTGACCTGGGTGGTGAGTCTTAAACTCTTGTCCAATGCTGGAAGAGTTCTCCTTGAAGCACGAGGCTGAAGGAATGTCTGAGGAAACCTTCACAGGCAAACGTTTATACTGTGACAATGTGAATTATAGAACAGTTGGGACAAATGAGAGATAAACCAAAAAGCTTACAATTAAAAGCTTGGGAATGAGGTATCTTCAGAGACTGAAAATATTAGCCATGTTTCTGGCAATTTAGAACATCATATACAGAGCTATGCCTTGCTTGGGAAAGATCTAAAAACAGTGTTAGCTCTCACCTCTACCTGACCTTGAAACTATGCCCAAGTAGGAAGGGAAGGTAAAGTTGTAAACTTTCTGGCTTAATATTGAAGGTGTGCCCTAAACACAGTCTTTGGCAAAGAATGGGAGATTTACTGGTTCCAGACATACAAGAAATCTGTCTAATCATTAGCTGAATTATTAGCTAAGTAGTAACATATGAAGAACACTGAATGAGTTCTACAAGCAATGAACCAAAGCTGGAACCTAGGAAACTAGTAACACCCTACTTCAAAAAAGGGGGAAAGGATGCAGTTCAGGAAAAGCCTCAGGGTTTCCATCTCCAGTACTCTGCCCCCATCAAAAGGAGAGAAAATAGCAGAGTGAAGACTGGCAGCAAAGCACACACTTCCTGGACCTGAAATCCACACCCTATAAAACTTGGTAAAGAGAAAAGGAACCAAGAGCTCTGGGAAACAGCACACAGGCAAACTAGGAATTAGAGAAATGGAAGACAATCCAGAAAAAAAGAACAAAGCCATCTATAATATTATCCTGGGCTCCCAAGGAAAAGATCCTGTCTGCAAACACAAGCTAAACCCTAAGATCGGCAGTCCCAGGGAAAAACAACAAACAGGCTCTAGAACAGACCGCCATTATTGTAAGCTACAAATACACTGCAGGATTTTACCCAGAAAGTGACTCCTGCATTACAGGATAGAGATGAAAACAAGATACAATCCTGGGCAGCCATTTTGGAATTAATTAAGGAGTCATTTGGGGAAGGAGTTAATTGTTTAAGATGAAGTTACTGTGGAAATCAGAAGTTACAGAACTACTATACTTCAGGATTTCTGGAGCCACCCTACCAGTGACTGGATGGGAGCTGACCAACAGAAGCAGCTGTAGGGGGGGATGCTAGCCACAGACTCTCTTTAAGTTTAAATAGCAATGAGCTCAGGCCACAAAAGACACAGTGGTCTCACTCCATGCAAGAAAAGCCAAGCTGGTCACAAATGCTTTTCGGGGGGGGGGGGGGGTAGCGCACGCGGGGAGTCTGAAACTAATGAAATTTTAAGTCCAGCAAACTGCTTCACCCACCCCCTCACTACCTACATCCAGCACAGAACCTGGTGCTCTGTTTGCTTTCCCCAACTGCCAATGTGATCGTGCATATGCCTGGCCTCCAATGGTTACCATGCCCCTGGAATGTAGACACAGGGCTCTTGGAGTAAAGAAAAAAGGAGGCTTTAATTGCTACCACACCCCAAGGGTATATGAATGCAGGGGTGGGGATCAAGAGCATATCACAAGCTAAAAGGCCACACAGACAGACAGACATAAAAGCATGGGGCACACAGAGAGAATGGACATGAAAAGCCCCTAGAATGAATACAGCCCCAGGGCAGAAACTGGACCATTCATGGGCCTTCACAGCAGGACTCAGAACACACAAGCATATGCTCACATGTAACACAATAGAAATATCTGACTTGTTTCTGACTCTATTATTGTGATCCATTTCTTTGCTATTCTACATAAAGGCTTAGTTGTTGCTATTAATTGGTTTTTAGTGCATGTCAGTACAATAAATGAACTGTCTTTGTGTAATCAATATTACAAACACTTTTTCTCAGTGCTGCCTGAAGTCTTAAGTATCTAAAAGGCTTTGGTTGACTACTGCTAGTATCTACAGAAGAGCTGGAAGGACAGAGAGGTATATGCCATGGAGTAGGAGAAAGAGGAGGGATAAAGAGAGGAAATATTAATTAAATGGCCTGTGAACTAAATATATATATATATTTAGTAAAATATATGTATACTAAATATATAAATATATACACGTATATTTTACATATATATATATATATATTTTTTTTTTTTTTTGGTGGTCCATCTTCTGTGTAGTGGTTGGAGATCAATCCCCAGAAGACTGGACACTAAGAAGAGCCACAAGTATACTCAGTATGTTGAAGAGGAATGCAAATATAAAAATATAATCCAAAAAGATACATCACAGGAGACAGATTATAACTAAAGAGCAGGGATAAAGTTTCTCTACCCCAACAGATCTTCAATTTTCAGTACAAATATCAGAAAGCATGGCAATAAGATAGCCCTGAAAATCCTTACACCTCTTTACTCGCTCAAAGGTTAATATCCTGGAAATGAAGGCAAAGATGTTACAGGCAAAGAACTAAAACATAAATGGTAAAAATGTCTAAACAGCTCTAAGAAGAAAGAGTCAAGCAATTTCATAAGATGTTTAGTGAACTTAGAGGTTTTTACTAAACAGAGAAAGTATTTTGCTAACAAATGTTTAATAAGCTTAGAAAAATAAAGAATAAAGTAATTGAGTTAACCAAGACTATACAAGATATGAATAACTAATTTGGTAAAGAACTAGAAATTATGAAAAGAAAGCAAGGAGAAATGTGAGATGTAAAAAATTCAATAGAAAGCATTCTACCAGATTTGACCAATATGAAGATAGTGTCTGAAACTGAAAACAAGGTGTATGTAGATCATAAATGATAACCTATAAACAAAAAGATACATGCAATCTAGATCTAACAGCTATTAGGTGACTCAAAAACAAATAAATAATAAACCCACATCAGAAGTATAGGAATAGGGGCTGGGGATTTAGCTCAGCAGCCTAAGTACCTGCCTTGCAAGCAGGCAGTCGTGAGTTTGATCCCCGGTACCTATAAAAATGAAAAAAAAAAAAAGACAAAAAAAAAGTATAGGAATAAAAGTAAACTTACAAGTTGACTCAAAAAAAAAAAAAAAAAAAAACATAACAATTTCGAGAAGTTTCCAAACCTAGGCAAAGAAGTATTCAAATTCAAGAGGCATAATGCACCCCAAACAGACATGATTAGATGAACCCCTCCATGACACCTTAAAATCAAAATTCCATAAATTCAACAAAAGGAAAGAATACTAAGAGCTATTAGAGAGAAACATCAAGTAACCAATAAAGGCAAGCATATCAGAATCGCTATGGATTTTCAACACAAAACTTAACACATTCACAATAGGAGCTGTAATTCATATGTTTCACTGCAAGGTGACTCTGATATGAATTTGACTGTTCTTGCCCACTTGAACCACCAGTGTGGTACACGCATGACTAACACTCATCAGGCAGCTTGTACCATTTCTCAGGCAATCTTTGAAAAGCATTAATTTAGCAGACTAGATGTCATCATATTACAATTCCTGAAAGAAAATATTAAAATGGTATAAAAATTGCAATACAGCTAATCTGCAGTT